GTGAAAAAAGTAGAAATAAACTGAGAAAAACGACCAGGACTAGCACAAAACGGTAGAACATGGTTGCAGAGTCTAATTACTAATACGTTAGTTATAAAAAAAAACTACGAGAAAAAAGATAAGAAAGAAAGAAACTCAGAATGAGCAGAGCTGCTGTAACAGGCTGCCGCACACGGGGGGCGCCGGAAGTCGCTTATGTCTGCTCATTCTTATGTCATAAGAATGAGCAGACTCAAGTGCAGGACTTTGTTGATGTTGCAACAATGATAGTTTATTTACACAATCACAAAGTGCGACCGGAAAAGGGGCTTCAGGAAATCCAGAGGGAAAACCACACTCTTCTTCGGTCACACACACCACGCTCCAGTTCGGTCACACACATGACACTGAGCAAAAACACTCATGCTCACAGGTCACTCCAAGGGTGGAAATTGGGACAGGCCAGGATGATCCATGTACATGAAAGCAAAATTAGAAGCCAGGAAAAACGCTAGGAATGAGAATACACAGGAAAGAGCCAAGGCTACGCTGACTGTCGCACAACGATTCAGTGATGAGAAACACTGAGCTGTCGCCTTAAGTAGTAAATGGTGTCAGGACAATGAGCAGCAGGTGCGTGATTGTTTGCAGGTGAGAACCCGCAATGAGTTCCGCACTGGCGAGAGAGAGAGCGAGAAAAACAACAACACTGCGATCTTAGATGAGATCACTCGTTGGGGAGACAGGGGGAACCATGACAATTTCCTCTTCAGCTTATAGGTTATTCGCTTTAAGGCATGCATTTGAGAGTTGTACCAGGGAGCCAAGAACTTTTGGTTTGAGGCTTGGCTTGAGCCACAGCATCCAGGGCAGTGTGCAGCGAAGATGTTACATTGTTAACAAGATAATCAACCTCAATAGAAGTAGATTTGTAGAAATGAGAGCTGTTCCATCCAAAGTGAGATGCCATCACTCCTAACAAGACCAGGTTTTTCCCCAAAAGTTTCCCAATTATCTAAAAACCCCACACTGTTTTAATGGACATCAGCAATTTAAGGAAAACATGCGACTAAACATGCCACTCCCAGCCTGATTGGGGAGGGGACCAGAGTAAAGTACAGAGTCTGACATTGTTGTGCAAATTTACCCACCAATATGAATTTCATATTCATCATGGATTGGTGCTGACACAAATGATTATTTTACATTATCGTTGGCAAGCATTTTCAGGGTTCATTCAGTGTTCTACCAAGGCTCCTGGACAACAGTCCACATTGGTTTCAGGTGTCTCTAGCTCTAACTCTCTAGCTAACCGTGGCTACGCGGCCTTCACACCAACTACAGAGGGCTTGTTTTTCAGAATTTTTAAGGTTGCAGAGCCAGATCTTCAACTGATTGAGTAAAGACTGAGGAGTAGCTAAACATTTGACACACTGAGCAGGAAAGTGGGGGAGGATCAGATGATGAAGTCATGCTGCTCGGCCAAAAAGAGAAAAGGCCTCATACCTTTTCTCTTTTTGTGCTGGTAATTTCTCACTCCTTCCTGTGGTTATAATAACATTGATTACTTTTCTGTAAATAAGTCAAAAGCAGTGGTTCTGACAAGTTTGCAGCATTGTGTTTTTAACACTGGCAGGCACAGTAGATTGTCTAACCACATGCTCACTTAGGTGTTAAAATTACATACAGTCTTTAGAGCCTGCCATCAGCAAACCCACAACACTTTCCAGATAAACACATGCACACAGTCTTTCACACCGTTGTTGTTTCTTTCTGTGTCTGCCACTTTCCACTATCTTTGTCTCTGTGTAACAAAAACTACTATCACCTTATTGTGTTGTCTACCTTGCACCCTGTTGCTCTCCTCTGAAGGAGAGAGTGGTTTACATTAAGCAGCGACTTGGTGAGGATTTCTTTGTTTATACTCTTTCAGTCACTTTTCATACACAAAATAAAAGTTCGGGTGAGCAGGTGAGTTTTGGTAGTTGTGTTTTGCTATGCTGTGTGCACTAGGAAAAACTGGTATTTTAGAGAAAATCAATCTATTGTTATTTTCAAAGATGATTTAAAAGAGGAATTTATTATTAAG